CCACCCCCCGCCCAAGTCCTGACCTACCTTGCAGAAAGCCCCGTTTCTTCACCTGAGCCACGATGCTTTCGTCACAGCCTGGCTGGTTGCGCCCCAGGTTGGGGTAGAAATCAACATGGCCGACTCTCTGCAGCAGTCCCAGACCTGCCACAAATTACGTCGGGTTTGTCAAAGAGCAACTTTCAACACAACTTGGTTCATGAAAGCGCTACAAACATTTTCTGAAAACGTACTTACCGCAGACTCAAAGAGACAAACATCTGCCAGTAAATCGTATCTAACTCGTTCACTTTCGTCGACCGCCGTTAAAAGAGGATAAAAACAAATCGCTCAGTTTAATTTTTCTGGGTCTTTGCATGTGGGTCTAAAAGTTAAGCAACCAATATAATAACTAAAATCCCATTCATGGAAGTCATTGCAAACTAAGGTTCCGACATGTTCTCTTTGATGTAAACCTAAAGCGGGGTAAAGAAAATAGGAGTGTTACCTAAAACATTAAAAAAGAGACACATTTTCCTCAACAACATTAATATTCGCCTAATAGGGGGTGCCCACTAGCGAATGCAGATCGGGTCGGGTCTGGTCGGGTCGGGTCATCTTGTCAGGTCACTTTCTGGCGGCTTCAGTGCACACTACAACAACCCCGCCGCGATTGTAACCGACGACCCGGAAATTTAAAGTAGAGAAACCTTTAATCTACATGCGACTACATAGAGAGCGTAAACCGGCCTCGATTGGCTGAACCTTTGACCCAGGATTATATTAAATCTAGGCCTACGGTACTCTTGGACTTTCGAAATTCCTCTCTGTCTCCCTCTGTGTGTGAGTGTGAGTGCACACGCGAATGTGTGCATGTGTGAGTGCGTGTGTGTATGTGTGTTTGCGCGCACGCGCGTATGTGCGTGAGTGCTTACTTGCTTTAGTGTTTCTCTCCTTTCTTGTCTATTTCTCACTTCCAATAATCAGAGACCTAGATCTAGCAATGCTAGGTCTCTGCATATATCTCTAAAACGTATCTCTCTCACTCCCTCTCACTCTCACCACCCTCCCTCTGTAATGCTCCTCCTCCTCCTTATTCGTCTTCTGCCTCTAGGCCTATGAGCGCTCCAAACATGCTGTAAGAAGTGAGAAGACAGTCAAAGACGTGAGATCGAAATCAGGAATTCCCAGAACCAGGTAAGCCTAGTTAATGTATTCTTGGGTCAAATGGACACGTGACTCAGCCTTGTTGTGATTGGCTACAAACCACCCGATCCCGCGATTCGCAGGCCTGAAAATAAGCGCGTTTGTTTTTGTAGGTCACCGATCGAGTCGATCAGTTTGTGCCCCGATGGCCGCTTTGAGCCCCCAATTTGGCTAGCCCCGACTACCCAATGGGCCCGATCCAACCCGACCCGACCCGACCAGACCAGGCCTGACCCAATCGCTCATGTGGGCACCCCCTATTGGAAACACGATTCAAGAGACGGGCTGAGTATTTTTCGAGACTCACATGGAGCACACGTGGAGACATCTTGAAATGTGGGGGAAGGGTGGTGTCCCTGTCTCAAAATAAGCAATTTGTAGGCAAGGCTGCTGTAAGTCACTTATTTTAGTAATCCAGTCTATGCCTTCAAAGAGCGGTTTTAAATACAGGGACCAAAGAGAAAAACTTTTTAATTACTCAGTCAAGGTATAAAATAAATTATTCTGTCGTTGGCCTGCAGAAATGCCATGCAAGGTCTCGTATGCATAGGTAAATTCCTCGATGAGCTAGAGTTTTTTTTTTCCACGGTCAGACGAAAGTGAACAAGTTATAAGTGTTGAGATTATGAGACAAAAATCAGCCAATTGTCAGATTTTTTAGATAAAAATGTGCAAGGAAATACGTTCAGTGTTGGATTTATGAGACACACATACATACACACACTCACTCCCACACACATACACGCACTCACTCACACACACATACACGCGAACACTCACACACGCGCACACTCACACACGCGCACACTCACACACGCGCACACTCACACACGCGCACACTCACACACGCACACACTCACACACACAC